GAGAATTATGTTTTGATTTGTCAGAAGAGAAATGGCTTGCCTTTTCTCTTGTTTACTATTGAGTTTGTCTTTTGCTTTTTTATATATGTTGTACCTTTGTTTTGTCATTCGAATTTTTTGCAGATCGAATCCAGCGCTATATCTAGAGCAGTTGCACCTCAAATATAAGGAGCTCTATGAGAAAGTTGCACAACGTAAACGACTGGAGGTGTTGATCGTGGCGAGAGATTGAATGCAGCCCAGAGGGAAAGGATGATGCACCTCAAATCGGGGGAATGGTGAAGATACTTTTGGTGCCTGAGATGAAGATTAGCAACTTCATAAACTGATGAGCAAAGATAATGATGACGATGATGAACCCGATCCGGATGAAGCAGAGCTAACCGAATCTCATCTAGGCTTCAGGTCAGTTTGCTATCAATTCACATAGGTTTCTATCATCTGTGCGAATTTTGGTCTCGGTTTTTCAGCCAAGTCTTTTTTGAAATGGGAATAATATGACTGTTGGCTATATCTGACTGTTCCTTGGAGTCGATGTGGCAGGAGATCGACCCAAATTTTATTCCCAAGGTGGAATTAGGAGCATCCCATCAAGTTTTCGAGGTCCCCTCGTCAGATTTTCAGGTCATTCTTGGAGCTGAGAGATTCAGGTGTCTTGAAATCCTGTTTAACCCAAACTTATTTGGAATTGACCCGACATGATTGGATAAGAGAGCCGGGTTTCAATTAAGAGGTTATCGCATGACTTAAAGATGTCATGATAGATTAACTCAGCCTATCCTATCTGTAATAATGGGCCCTAAAGCCCAGCCCAATATACCCTTTATATTCTGGCCACAAAGCTCCACCACCTGATTATATGAAAAAGAAAGAAAGAAAGGAAAGAGACAGACCAATCGAGAAGAGTGGAAAAGGAGGAAGGTGAGTTCGTCCGAGAACAGCAAAAAGGAACCGCATAGAGAAGAGAAATCTCATTATTCTTCTAATCGGGTAATTTTCGACGTTAGGTCATAAATTCAGAGTTATGTGAGTTTTGAACTACGAAATCCAATTTTGGAGTTACTATGTTGTAGATTTATATAGAAATGAAGTATGCTTTGATTGGAACGAATTTCCGAAGTTTAGTGTGCAAGTTACGCCTAACGAACAATACGTGTACCAGACAAAGATCAACATTCGCTACAAACAAATTTCTTTGTAAGTGCATACGAGTCGTTTTGTCAACAATTAAGCGTAGTTAAGTTGGGTCATTCATTAGAATAATATTTTACTCGGATTTGATATTGTTTTTCAATTAATTGATAGAAATACAAGTGCGTTGACTCGAGTAACCGTCGTAAGTTGGTTTATAATTTTTCTAAGTGAGTGATGAACTCATGTCTTGAAAGCGATATAGGTTTGATATATTATGAGTTATAAACAAGCATGTTTGTTCCATGAAATCCGGATTAGGCCTTTACTACGACTTGGTATTTGTAAATGGTTGACAAATGTTTTAGGAAATATGTTGCAAAATGTTATATATACTAAATTGTGAACTTGCCTTATGAAATGGATTCTGAATAGTTTGAGAAACGCCTGGCGAAAAGAATTATGTTTGATGGACGGGTTGAGAAAGATTATATGTTTGGCTTGTGAAATCGTTTTGTGATTTGTGAGTTTGTGTTGGTGCTCAATATCGCTGTAAGCTCATTGATGAGCTTGTGGATATGCGCATACTAGTTTTAGATATCCTTGTGAGTCAAGCCACTGGTAATGTGATGCCTAGGGTCCACTCATAATGATATTGTTCGCTTTGGGCCGGAGCCCACACGGTTTTGTTCTTCTGAGCTTCACCAAGAAAAGGTCTCGTTACAAGTTAGGACAAGTGCCACCACATATATGGCACTTCACCTCACCACACGTAAGCGATGTAGGATTTGGTTCATTCCTGTTCCCTTCGCCATCCTCGAAGCCTGTTAGGAACTGCTTCTTGTCCAGGCCCTATGGCCCTGGCGACCACTTCCCGCTCTCGTAGGACCGGGTCGTTACAGGTAATATAGATGGAGACCTAACCAAGGGGAGAATCTTGGTTGCCTTGTCACGGAGCGTTATGTGTGATCATGGTTAGATATTTGAACACAAGTTTAGTCAATGGAGTGGACTATTGACATGTGATTTGAGTTTGGTCAATAGAGTTGACCATTGACATATGATTTGAGATTAGTCGATGGAATGGACTATATATCGACGACTATTCGAGGAGGTGCCCGATATATGTTGACATATATCGACGACTATTCGAAGAAGGTATGAGTATACTTTCTGAAGCACAAATATGATGTGTTTGATCGATTCAAGAAATTTAAGGTATCGATTGAGAAGCAGTCAGATAAACAAATCAAGTGCTTGAGAACCGATAACGACATGAAGTTTTGTGATAAAATTTTTACTGAGTTCTGTGAGAAAAAAGGGATCGTGAGACACCACATAGTACCCGAGACACCATAGCAGAATGGCGTAGTAGAACGAAAGAATAAAACTTTACTTGAGCGAGCTTAATGCATGCTTTCACATGTAGGATTAGGCAAGGAATTTTTTGCCGAAGCAATGAACATGGCCTATTACATGGTTAACCGATTTCCATTATCTGCTATCGAGTGGAAGACTCCTGAGAAAGTATGATCGGGGAAACCTGTTGATTACTCCGGATTACGAGTATTCAAATGTTCTGCGTATGCTCATGCAAGTGATGATAAGCTTGAGTCGATAGTGAAAAAGTGCATATTTCTGGATTATGCACATGGCGTTAAAGGTTACCAGATGTGGTGCATTGATCTTAGATCACCCGATTTTCTAATCAGCTGAGATGTGATCTTCGACGAAACTGTAATGCTTTGATAAATGAGTCTTAAGACACAACAAGCTGAGCAAATCCTTTTGATTTCTTCTATTTCTTCAATCATCGACTAAGAAATGGTGTCAATAGTGAGGTGAAACTTTCAAGTGGAAACTCTAGAGATCTCGGAGGTAATAGAAGTAGAGATTGCATAGGGGGCCGCAGTTCCTGAAGTCAGTAACATTGAACAGCTAGCATAACCACAACACATTATAGTTGCGAGTAGACGGAGAAGACAAATTAAATCACCAGTACTTAATGGTTCTACAGATATTGCTTATGCATTGACTGTAGTTGATGAGGTGGAGACAGATGAGCCTTTGTCTTACTTTAAGGCTATGGCTAGTTTTGAATTGTTGCAGTGACTAGGGGCTATGAGTTGAGAGATGGAATCACTCCATCAAAATCTGACATGAGAGATGGTCAAGATACCCAAGAGCCAAAAGATTGTTGAAAGCAAATGGGTTTTTAAACGGAAGGATAGCATTGCAGCAAGGTATAAGGCAAGACTTGTCTTGAAGGGGTATACACAGCGGGAGAGCATATGTCCCATGTTCATTATTTTAGTGCATTGGGTAGTATTATGTATGCTATGGTATGCACTAGGCCCGATGCAAGCGTAATTAGTTGTTATATGAAGCATTTTAGTAAAGCTCATTGGAAACTTGTGAAATGAATCCTCGTATACTTAAAGGGGATGGAAGACGTTAGTACAGTGTACCGAGTGGGCAGCAATGGTAGTAAGACAACAAGGTATGTAGATTTGGATAATGCAGGTGACTTGGATAAGTACAGATCTTTAGCAGGGTAATTGTTTATGCTAGCAGATAGTGCAGTTAGTTGAAAAGAGTCCTTATAGGACCACGTTGTATTGTCTTCAACTGAAGCAGAGTACATGGTACTGACCTTTATAGCAAAGGAGGCGATATGATTAAGATGTTTGCTCTCGGAATTTGGGTTAAATCAGAAATATAACCAATGTGCGACATATGTGACATATAATTCAGTTTATCACAAGTGAACGAAACATGTCATCATCAGGTTTTTGTAAAGAAGATCGCTACAGCGAAGAACTTGGCAAATATGATGACAAAGCCTGTTCTTTTGGCGACTGTAGAGAGTGTGCGCCTATCAGGGCATTGGAAAAGCAACATGGATGATGAGTACTATGACTTAGCATCAAATGTCGAGCTAAGGTGGAAAACTGTTAAATTATGTTTTGAGTTTGAGCTAATTAGTAAATCCCAATCCGATGTTAATCGGTAAAGTTTCGATTGTTGCTGAACGTGCAAAGCAAGGAATTCATCTTTGTCCCCAATTAGGAAAGGACAATTCGGCGAGAATATCAATATTGGATGTTTCATTGAAGGTTTGACCAATTTCAACGTTTTGGGCACACCTTCTATATCAGTGTGTGGAGTCTTATAATGTGTACAGTGGACGTCAACTTTCAAAGCCACGAAGCAAAGCGTGTGGGGCACAATAAAAATAGAAGGCCTACGTTTTGCTTCCTGCCACACCCGTACAAAAAGAAAAGAAGACTCCTTTATTTCTGTTGTGTGAGCGCCGCACAATGAACAAACACGGCCGAACAGTACTTGCACAAAGGAGCCGCACAAGAAAAGGCCGCGAAGAGCAGCCGCACGAAGGAAGAAGACTAGCATACAGCGCGTTCTTGATTTCATGCGTTCTTTATTTCTCTTGTTTTTTATTGTTCCTCGTTATTTTTCTGGTGATTTCGCATTGACTTGATTTGCAAAATTCTGTTGTTTTCGCGTTAATTTTACAACAGCTCAGAAGATCATCTTAGATTCTCTCACGAGCTGCTCTTCTTCATATTTAAAAAGTACCTGTATGCTAATCTATACTGTGTACATTTGTTCTTGGCATTTTAGAAACTCTCTTATATCATATTAAGAGGAAGCTATTCTGTCTGTCATGCAAATAGATAATTGATTTCAACTGGGAACTGTGAGCAGGCACGGTGCTTCTTGAAACACGGAAGCGGGAATATTACGAGTAGGAAAGGAAGAGAAAAAAGAAAATTGATTTCAACTGAGAACCGAACGTGTAGCAGAGATTCTGGGGAGATATGCTAGTTCAACATGACACTATGCAAATCAAGAATGATGTTTAGTAGTAGCATTGCACGATTCATGTTGATGCTTTTTCCGTCTAACAGTCCCAAGTCTGGGATTTTCCATCATTATGGAATTTCTCTGGACCAAGTGTGACTTGTCTGCCTCCGATTTGCTTGGTGTGTTAAACTAATCGATGTGTGTGTAAACTAGCTCGAACACCGATTAACGATAAGACTCAAGACCAAAAGTTGTTCTGCATGGGGAAGAATTTGAGCAGATTTACTTCTCATAGAAGCTGCTTGAAAGCATGTATCAGAGCATAAAATATGAATGAACAGAAAATAAGCACGGTGTTTGGACCTCGGGATGGCCAACTCAAGGCAGAGATATCTCTGTAAGTGACTCTGAGCTCATGAAAATCTTATCCGCGAACCGAAAGATGAGCAATGGACCCAGATTGGATCTCAAAACAAACCACACCAGTGATGATTGTAGCAGGATTTTCAAAACAAACCCCGCTTGTGATGATTGTAGCATGATTTTCCTCCATTGCAGACAACTTAATAGCATCTCGGTTCACATGAATCCAAAACAAACTACAATAATAGTGATAATTGTAGCTTGATTTTTCTTCGTTATGGACACAACCTAACGGCATCCCAGATCGCGGAATCTTCGACCATGAAGATAATGAAAAACCACAGCAATATGAGTCGTGTTAAGAGTGACTCCTATGCCAGTCACTCCTATGCCATTGCTGGTGCAGAATCCAGGATTTCTCTCATGTCCCGCTAAACTTGCGATCATTGTCAACAAACTGCATAGAAACGTTTTGTTCATCTATTTTCATCAGACAAAACAGTTCTAACAATACAGTTCCCTCCAACATGCGCAAAGATGCAGGGAAGCTTAGAGATTCAATTTCAAAACCACTGATTGTGAACCTTACAGATCTAGAAATGCCTTCGGACTCTGCAATAGAAACGGTAAGAGCAGAAAAAGACTAGCAGGATGTGAAAATCTTTCCTTATCTACTTTCGACGGGCAATTTATACATTCACCTCCAGGTCGATAGCGCATAGATAATCCTGCCCTTCCAGCCCTGCAATAGCCACTGCCCATCTTCTTCAATCTCAAAATCTTTATGGTAGTAAGATTTTAACCTGTCCTTTGCCAAGCTCACCATATCCTTATCCAAGGGTAGCTGCCTAAACCCAGACCTCAGGTTTCGCAAGTGCGACATTTTGTATGTCTCTGGCCTCTCAATCCTCTCAGAGCCTTCGCAGGCAATGACATTCATCGCATGCCTCCCGAATATCTCTCGCTCAAGCAGCAACCTCCCTGGGGCGTCACGAGGCATGGTCGCCTCGAGCATGTCAAACATAGCTGAAAAATGGAAGAGTGCTTCCCGGAACCGCGAAACGAAAAAGGGGACACCATGTTCACCATTTATGACTCCCTGAATGAAAACATGGGGATTCATCTTTTTTATCAGATTCAGTACAACATCTCGTGGACTCTCCTCCGCCAGCACCGTGTCATCGGGTGTGTGACGTACTCTATTTGTGCAGTTCACGACAAGGATTTCATCGCTGTGGATATTTAGCTCCTCAACTTTAATGGCATCCCAATTTTTCGCTATAGCATTAAACTTGAATGGGACATTGAAAGTTTTGGCATAGCTCGCCAAGCGTCTTCCGGTTTCCTCAACGATTTCCTCTGGTTTAAGTCCTGGTTTTGGCCGGTCAATCCCAGTCATCCGAAGCTTAGGTGGTCCACCGGGGCTCAATGAGAGACGCTCTATAAGGCCAGGCCACTGGAAACCATGGAGAATTCCGAAATCAATGATGTGCAACTTGGGTGCCTCCCTGGCCACTTTCATTATCGTCTTGTTCGAGAAGGAAATTAAGAGCTTCTTAAAAGGACAAGCTGCCAGAAAGAGATGATAAGCCTTCAACGCATCGAGAACCGATGTTGGCCTAGCCATGAGAGCCTTGTATATCTGAGAGCCTGACCCGGTGAGGCGCGCCTCGAGACCATTCGCAAAATAGTGTGCCGTCCTTTGCATCCCGTCCCCTGTGGGAGACGCGTGCCTTCTGATCTGCTTGAGCAGCTCGCCTGCGACTCCTCGATCATCCATAGTAACAGCTTGTGCACAAAGCGTCAAAAGAGTTCTCAAGTCGACCACATCCCTCTTGTGCCTGCCTTGCTGCTTGCCGCGGGCCTTCCCCTTGTTCGGCGCTTTCTGTTTGCCAATCTGCATCAGGTTCCATAGAGCTTCGCGAAGGGTAGCTTCGCTTCCATTACGATTGAGCAACACTATATCGAACATCTCCGACCTCACAGTTGATTCAGTGTATACTGATAAATGCTTGCTCACCCTTCCTTCCTCTAAGTTCACATCCTCCTGCAAAGGATTTTTCTTTCCCCTGTATCCTCCAAGGTCGGCAAACACGTTCCCATCGTTCTCTAGATTTGCAACCAAACTTGTAGGCTCTTCAGTTTGTTCGTTAAAGGAAAATTCACCCCTCTCCGGATCAACTAGAATTTCATTTCCGAAAGCAAGCGACTCTCTCGCTTCTTCACCATTGCCCTTGAACTCGATAACAGACTCCCTTCCAATTAGTTCAGGCAAAGAAACGTCACTCAGTGGAGATTCAGCACGTCCAGCGGTAGTGATACCATCATAGACACCACCCAATGACTGGCCAATTGACGATGAGATGGATTGAGACACCGTGGTGAGGACAGTATGCTCTTGTGACACACGGTTCGGCTCTGCCTCAACCAAGTTAATCGCACCACCGCTACTATTACACGAGCTCTCATTGGTTCGATTAGGTAACGGATGCTGATCCGCAGCTGGCGGATACCTCTCCCCAATGACCTCGTAGAGTGATTTCTCGGCTGCCTCGAGCGCCGAGGCCTCGTGACACCCGATGCTCTTCTCTTCTATGTCTTCCTCCATAAGCATCTGGTGAATGTACTTGACAGCTGCATCACCAAAATCATAGTCCTCGGCCAGTTCCTTCCCAAGGTTAGCGCCCAAAGGAGGCGTGTATGTGTACTTATTGAACATGTCGTCGATCGTGAGCCTACTAACAAGATCATTCTCTGGTAAATTCGAAAAGGCGGCATCATCACCGTCATCGACTACATACCCATCAATGAAACTATTGAGTTCGTCTGGTGGTGGATCCATTTCTATACACTATGCTAGACTCAGAAGGACTTCAGAACATCAATGGCTCAAAAAGATCTTGAGAGAATTTGCACCAAAATTCGTCAACTCGCTATATAAACACAGAAATGATTCCCCAAAATCGCGACTCAACCAAGCGTACAACTGGGTAAATATCTCGAAGCTTTTGTAGGAGCTGAAGTTCGGAGCTTGCATGTAGTTACGCAAAACGAAACAGAGAAGGCAATTTGAGTAGGAACTACAAGCTAATCTTGTTTCAAAATGAAACAGAACGAGATGGAAAACTTTCGTTGTGGAATCACTTCGAGGAACTGGGGTGGGGGGGCATTCAGCAAGATTTGACCTGGGTGAGTTTTGACCATAAATAGAAAGTTGCAAATCCTGGGTGAGAAAACAGCCAGTCGATTTCAGATTCCTCAGTATTATCCCACGTGAGTTGACTCTGGAGAGGTGGACGTATACGTGTCCTCTGGTCAAATTACGTTCGTCCTCGCGTCTCCTCCCCTCCCGAGTGTTACGTTATATCCCATGAAAGGAGACTTGTCGCTTGTTTGCTGGTTGCCAAAGAAGAAAAAAGCCCTTCAGATCATTAGACCGACTATAAGTTGCGTGTGGAATTTAAGAGCCAGTTTGGTACTATTATGTCGCTTGTTTGCTGGTTGCCAAAGAAGAAAAAGCCCTTCAGATCATTAGACCGACAATAAGTTGCGTGTGGAATTTAAGAGCCAGTTTAGTACTATTATTTCTACGGCAGATACAATTAGGGGTGAGACCGACTCAACTCGATCAATCAAGGGAACTAGGCCGATCCCAAGGCCACTTGAACCTGTATTGTGCGAATTAGTCCTTAATCTTGATACTTTAGGGTTGATCCCGTTAAATTATGTGTTGAGTTGAAGCCCGCATGCATTTTTCTAATCGGATTAGGATCAATAGCTCTTTGACACTTAGTGGTAAAGTAAGGAGTACGCTTATAATATTTATTTTACTTATGGGGCAAAAAAGTCTTTGTTAGAGGAAAGAAATAAAATAAGGAGGAGGAGAGGGAGGAGGAGGAGGGCTTTACTGTATGGAAGGTTGCCTGCACAGTGGCCGTACAAAAAGGATTTTGTTTTCCCACTGACTGCATAGCCGTATATAAAAAGAATAATCGTGGGCCTTTCTCCCAGTCAACAAGGAGCCGCAAAGAATAAGAATCTATTTAATAACATTTCTATTTCTAGAAATAATTTCTGTTCAGAATTCCCTAGACGAGTTTTTGAGCAAAAAAACGTATTTAGTAACTACAAAAAATTTATATTCTAGAAGTAGAAAAAGAACAGAAATGCGTTTGGTAGGACACTAAAAATTTCTACTCTTAATTTTTTATTTAATTATAAAATTATCGGTGAAGACTTAATGATTCATATTTGGATAAAATTGGACTAGAAATAAAATAAGAATATATTATGATATAGAATTGGATGACCTTAATACAATCATAAAGAAAATTACTTCTTATAGACAAAGCAAATACCGGGTGGTGGTCGAGGAAATTGCAGTTTAGGGGACTTAATAATTCATGTTTGGAAAAAATTGGACTAGAAATAGAATAATAATATATAAAATTGGATGACCTTAATACAATCATAAATAAAATTACTCCTTATAAACAAATCAAATACCGGGTGATGGTCAAGGAAATTATAATTTAGGGTGTAAGATTTTAGGATTTGGGGTTAGGGGTTAGGGTTTTAGGATTTCGATTTTGAGGTTTAGGGTTTGGATTTTAGGGTTTACGTTTTAGGGTTTCGGATTTAGGGTTTTAGAGATTTGAGTTTTGGGTATTAGGGTTTGGGATTTAGGGTATAGGGTTTAGGGTTTAGGGTTTAAGGTTTGGAGTTTTGTGGTTTTGCATTTTAGGATTTAGGGTTTGGAATTACAATTTTAGGATTTAGGTTTTAGGGTTTCGGGTTTGGAGTTTTGGGGTTTAGGGTTTAGTGTTTCGGGTTTTGGGTTTGGGATTTTAGGGTTTAGGATTTGAGGTTTATAAGGTTTAGGGTTTTAGGGATTTGAGTTTTAGGGTTTGGGATTTATGGTTTTTGATTTTAGTGTTATGGGTTTTAAGGTTTGGGTATTGAGGTTTAAAGTTTTGCAGTTTAGGATTTGAGGGTTATTGTTTAGGGTTTTAGGGTTTAGGATTTGGAATTTAAGCTTTAGTATGATAATATCTTGTGAAAGAGAGAGAGTTGGTCTTGTTTCTCTATTGTTTCTCTTTTTGTTCCAAAAACAGAAAAGTAAAATTTTTTTTACTTCTTATTTCTGTTTCAAATTTATTCCCTGACCACTTTTCTATTCCAGGGAACAAAAAAACTAACTGACGTTATTAAACGGATTTCTATTCTTTTTCTGTTCCGGAGAACAAAAAAACAGAAAAATAGAGAAACAGAAACATTACTAAACAGGCCCTAAGGAGCTGCCGCATGAAGACCGAAAACAAGGAATCATACAATGGTTCTTGTTTTCAAACACACATGAGATCTCGCTTTGGGTTGAACACATGGTGATTTTGTGCCGTGAGTTGTATTCCATTCGAATTGTCTATTTATAAAATATTTGAGATTTGGGTGTAATCTAGGTGTAAGAAAATTCAAACTAATGAGTAAATTGTAACTCTGATTATAGTAGATTATTTGTTACTAACTCTCCTCGCGAATGTAAATATTAACACTCGAACCAAACCATATAAATCGCTTGCATCTTTTATTGTCCCTTGTTATTTCTCTAGTGATTTTACATTGACTTGATTTGCAAAATCCTACCATGGTCTATCCCAAACCAACCCTATATATATATTCCAAACCCTAGTATATAACCTAAAGTTCCAAGCCCCTCCTCTTCTTTACCCTTTTTCCTCTCCCTCTCTCCGAGTCTCACTCTCACTCTCTCCCTTAAACTCATATTGTTCTCCACCTTTTAGTGGCTCTCTCTCTCTCTCTCTAGCAACGACTCTCTCCCTGCTCGTTATCTTCACCAGTCTCGGTCATCAGCAACGAAGACTATAGAATCTTAGCAATTTAGATTGATCATTATTCACAATCAACATCTGCATCTCAAAGGCAAGTGCCTCCATGCTCAGTTCTAATAAAAACAGAGGCCGGGAATCTTAACTTGAATGGCCACATTCATTTTGCATCTTCGTTGACAATCACAGTAACAATTTCTTTTTGTTAGTGCTTGATTCTTCAACATGAATACCAAAAAACATCTTAATATTTGAAAAAACAATAACAAAACGGAGCTTGTAACTAGGGTTCCTATCAGAATCTATAATATCATAATCTCTTTTATCATACTCGAAACAAAGATGATAAATATGTGGATATAATCGTGTGGCATTATGGGATCTTAATTCAACTCAGACAGATGAATTTGACAATCAGTAGCCTTGACTCTACCAGAGTTAAAGACTCATTTAAGAATGAGAAATGCCACATATTATTGATTGTTAAGAAAAGCATAAGCATATTTTCAATAGCTCTGAAATTTCAAAAAGTACGTTTCTCCTTCCAAGAAATACAAAACATGAAATAAAAAAAGAATCGATTGATCCCGGATTGACCTTGAAATCAAATCTAAGGAGTCAATCCGATCCTTAGTCCCAGGCTCAACAGGGTTGGTGCCCAGTCATAAAAATTGGGGACTAACATTGTGCTGGTTAGTCACTGAGTTAGGTACCGGACTGGCCCACCCTAGACAATGCTCGCAATTATGGAAGGCGCAATTAGTTAAAACCTCGAGTGATTTCTAATTCGAAAATTGAAAGTTCCTCATTCGAATCCCGCCAATTACGTGCAAACTGCATGGGATCGAAGCTATTTGCTTATGCCAAAGGTTTGAACTTCACCGGTTCATGAATCTTGTAAGGTGTTCCATTGTCTCCAAATAGCTGGGACTCTACTTCTATTCCACTATATCAGAAAAAAGAATACAAATTTTCTCCCAAGCCCCATTAAACTCACTTAAATACGTAAAAATTCCAAAAACCCTAGTCTCACACCACCCAAAACACCCAAGTCTGCCAACGCCTTCTCCCGCCACCGACCTACCACCTCCGCCATCTTGGACCACTCCAAGGAAGCTGCTCGTCACTATGTCAGCCCCTTTCTATAATCAAAGTCTCCGCGGGCTGTCGCGAACTTGGATCGAGGTCCCCATGCCATGGGGACCTCGGATGCATTCACCATCAACACACTTCTCACGTTGCTATGCTTGGTCATTCTTTTGTCCAATCACATATTTGTCAATAATTTTCATTAAAAAAACTACTCCTTAATATGCTTTATTAAACCAAGATTATCGCATGTTCGGTGAAGTCAATAATAATTGCAACAAAAAAAGCACTCCTTCCAGCATATTTTCTTAATTGCGATTGATTTCTCTATCCTATAATTTATTTATTTGTAAAATTTCTCTCAGTGCTGCAGTATGCCCTGGTCTTTTCTTTCTAGTGCCCCCCGAGGTCACAGGTTGCACGTTCTGTCTGCCACTTCAGGCAACGTCACTTACGACATCACATCCAATATACTTGCAAACAGATTGATACCTTATCTAGGACAAGTTGATCTGCCCTTTCCAAGCAGCTTTCACTCAAGGGACACTTCTCGGAGTATCAAAATTTGCCACTGATTCTACCATATGGAAAGCCATTCTTGATAGTAGTGAGATAATCTTGAGAGGGACCTACTTTATTGTGGGTAAGGATGAAGAATATTACATATACTCGGTCTATATAGACCAACATAATCATAACTATTAAAGACCATATCATTTCATTCTAGTAACCGTAATCGATCTTGCATTTCATATGGTGCATGAGAAATAAAGTGCATGCTACGATTTGCACCGTTTGATTCAAGTGTTTAGGACTCATAAATGTGTCTTACAGGGAGCTTGTTAGAAGAGTCGAGCACCAAAGCAAATGCAACTTGAATTAGCCTCATCTTCCGTGTGATCTACCTCCCCCAATTCATAATTTTAAAAGGTTAGGCCCAAGCTCAGGGTACCTACTGATGTTGTTTAGTACATGACCCTAATCATATCGTGAAGGGAAACTTTGGACCAACAAAGACATCTAAGACCCCCAAAAAAAATCCTGATTTTGATGATTTTATTTTTAGTACTTGTCCTATATCAAAATTCGTTTTTTAGTTGATCTTTCAAATTAAAAGATGGACTCCATATTTGAAATATGACAAAAAGTTTGCACTACAGGCCTAGTGGACGTCGAGTGCCGATCCAGAGATGATGGGGTGGATGGGATCCATAGCAAAGCGGAAATCATGTCAAAAGTTGTGTTTCCTTTTTGTGAGAGCCGATGT